AGGAGTTATTTGTGAGAAACTCAGGGCTCGAAGGTAGACTGTCACAAAGAATTGAGCCAAGAGATGAGGAAAAGTTAAAAGGGGACTAAAGCTCTATTGGAGCAGAAGCAAAACTGTGCCAAAGCAGAACCCATTTATTCTAAATTAAATCAAATAAGTAGTGAGTTTAGCTATAGAGAACCTTATACAATATACATGAGGGACCAGCAGTTACTGTAATGGCTATGTCGCTGGACTCCCATGTAGTTGACCACGGTTCACGTCCTAGATCCGGTGGCTTGAAACTCACACCGGGTGTGTTTGCGTGCATGCCCAAATTCCCAAGTGGAGAATGGAGGAGAAGGGATTGTGGTGTGGCCATCTCTCCTGGGGTGTGATTTCTTGCTTTCTATCTCTCTGTCTCTCTCTGTCTTTCTGGCAAGCACATGTGCCATATAGCAAAAATCTCTCAAAAAAAAAATATATATACTTGAGTTTCTTTGTAGGCTGTATTCCTGGTAAAAGATTGATAGCTATCATTAACTTAGTAGTTAGACAGTATTTAGACTGTGGAATGTCACCAAACAATCTTGAGACTCAGCCCATGCCAGGAGCTATCTGGTTGGCTGTAGAGTCCCTTTGGCTTTCTGTCTAGGAATGGGGTTGCTTTCAACTCCCTTCTGCATTCTCTCCTTCTGGCTTAATTCTCAGGCATGGGCTGGTTTTTGTCCCCAACAGTTATTTTTTCATTCTGTTTGGTGGTTTTATTTAAATCAATGGCTTTGTCTTCCAGATCAGAGATTCTATCTTCTGCATGGTCTAATCTGCTATTAATACTTTCAAGGGAGGTATTTTTTATTTTCTGTGTTACAGTCTTTATCTCATGGAATTCTGTTTAATTCTCTTTTATGGTGTTTGTCCCTTTATGGAATTCTTTTCCAGGTCTTGGAATGATTTCCTCATCTGGAGATAGTTGTCTGTTTTCTCTTTCATCTCATTCAGTTTTGTCACTTTGAACATATTGTATTCTTTTTCTTACATTTCTGTGAGTTCTTTGGTACTCTTTTATTGAGGAGGACTTTTTTCTCTTCCCTTGAGGGAGAGAGATTTTTTCTTCATATTAATCCTGTAGTGTTAGTGGGGAAGATGAGCTCTGTTTCTCAGGTGTGTTTTTGGGAGATAGACTTTTCTGTCAATCTAAGAAGGGTAAATGATGTTGGTTTCCTCTCTCAGAATTTGTTGCACTTGGGATTGATTCAAATAAAGAAGGAAGTACAAGTCAGCTAACTAAAATCTCAAAGCAAACTAAGGCATGCAAAAAGCAGGAGCAAGAAGTCTGAGAGGCCTGGTCCTTCTGCACTCCCTGTCTCTCTGTTGCTGCCATTTAGTCCTGAACCATGGGGCATTAAGGTAGAGGGCAGTATGCCAGAGGGTTGAAAGCACACCAGCTTGAGCTAAAGGCAAGAAATCTGAAATGTGCGATCCATCTCTGCTGAATCTCAGTCTCTTATTGCCACTGGCTCCCTAACCATGGAGGCTTAAGGTGCAGGGTGAGGTGGGGGAAGGGTCAAAACCACAGCTGTGCAGGCAAAGGCAGCAGCAAGAAATCTGAGATGCATAGTTAATAGGCTCACTTTCTCTCTCTCTCTCTCTCTCTCTCTGCTACTACTTCCTAGCTCCTGCACCATGAGTGCTTACTATAGAAGTGCATTGGGGAGAGTGTCCAAAGCACTCCTGCTCAGGCAGAAGGCAAAAGCAAGAACTCTGAGATGCACTGTCTTTCAGTGTTCACTCTTACTTACTGCCCCTGACTCTTGCACTGTGTCAGTTATGGCAGAGGGGCCTGGGCAATGGCAAAGGTCAAAAGCACACTTATGCAGGCAGAAGGCAGCATCAAGAACACTGGGACATAAGGTCCTTCTGCACTCATGCTCTCTATTCGACTTGCTGTTCCTGACTCCTGCAAGGTGGGGACTTGAGAAAGTGTGGGCAGGAGGGGGTTATAAACCATACCCGTGTGAGCAAATTGCAACAGCAAGAAGTCTGAGATGCAAGGTACTTCTGCATTTACTCTCTCTTGCTATCACTGGCTCCTTCACATGGGGGCTATGGCAGAGGTGCTGGAGAGGAAGGTTCCAAAGTGAATCTCTACAGGGAAAAGGCAGCAACAAAAAGTCTGAAAGTCAGTGCTCACTCTCACTGTCTCACTGCCACTGGCTCCTTTTCCATGGGGGCTTATGGTGGAGGGCAGTGTGGTGGTAGTGGGGCATTTTAAAGCACATCTAGACTTGCCAAAGGTAGCAGCAAGAGGTCTGAGATAATTATCCTCCTGTGCTCACTCTCTCTCTGTCTTTCTCTCTTGCCAATGCTGATTTATGCACTTTAGGAACTTAAGGCAGAGGGGCATGGGATGTAGAGAGTCTAAAGCACCCCGGCATGGGCAAAAGGCAGAAGGAAGAAGCTCCACCCTCCTGTGCTCACTCTCTGTTGCCCCTGGTTCAGACCAGCATGGGGTCTTGTAGAGGATGAGCACGTGAGTGGTGAGAGGGTCCAAAGCACACCTGTGTGGACAAAAGGCAACAGCAAGGACTCTGAGATCACTCTATTCTGTCTCACTGCCATGGGCTTTTACATCATGGGGCTTATGGCAGAGGGGTGAGGT